TCTTGTCAAACATTCTCGGAATATATTACTAAAGAACTGAATATCAACACTTATAATACACACCTTTGTGTTATTAGGAACGATATATGTTCCCTAGTTCTTAAATTATACGGGTTTAAGGATTCCACTTCGCACAAAATTTAAGTACATTACAAATACCATACGTTTGTAACGCAAAAAAAAGAACGAAATTTCAGAAAATACGTATGTCGTAGTTTGATCTGTAGTTTAAATACATAAATTGTCGTGAAAATTGACTACTATTTGGCAATAAAAACATATTACATCGAGATACATCGAGATAAACTAAGAGAGCAATAGTAACTATTGGCGTGAATATACAGAGTATCCTGTAACTGGTGGTACAAGCGAGAAGGGGGCGATTCTACGTAAAAAATTGAATCGATAATGTGGAATAAAATTTTATCATATGACGCGTTATTTTCGAAAAAAATAAGTTTGAATATTTGTCGAGTACGCGTGTACTTGATTTAGCTTCAGTTCGAGTTATAATCAAGTTATTTGGCATTCGTTCGTCGTTTTACGAATCCATCACCCACCACCCATCGGGTGGTGTCAGGTTCGGCCCTCAGACTCAGGTACTGGCCCTTGAAATAAATAAAAGGAATAATAACTAATAGCATTATTATCGCTATGAAAACAAAATTTATAGACAGGAAGACTAATTTCTTTCAAATTGCGAGGTACTCAGGATCGTTCTTCGTATATCGTACGTCGTATTCGGGTAATTGAGAGTGAAACTGCAAATTGAAGGGAAATCGATTACCCACGGCTAACAGATGGTTTTAAATTGCAGGGCGAGGGTTAAAGAGACGAAGGAGAACAAATTCTTCTGTTTGACACGCTGGTCACGTCGCTTTTCAACAGCCAATGCCCATTCGCAGTGTCCGACAGAGATGAGATTATTCTATTTTCCTGAAAAGTGGCGGACTTTACGCTAATTTACATGAAATTTTCATGCTTTTTTTACATGCTTCATTTACGTGAAATTTTCGTGCTATTTTATCAAACATATGAATAATGATAATATAAGGAAGATATCTCTTTGCTAGTCTTTAGATTAGCCCCATTTATTACAATTCGTAACGCTTCGACTCTGGGTTGCAAATCAACTTCAGACCTACAATTATTACGATTCATTCAACAATTTTCTTAATTGTAAAAAAATCGATATTATTTTTCCCAGTTAAATCATATTGAGATGCAGAAAAACAATACATAAAAATATTTTAAAGGCTTATTATATAATACATATTATTTAGATAACTGTAATCACGATATGAGTATAATGAAATTGACGTAAGGTCTTTGATTCTAAACATAGAAATAATTACTATAATTATTTCTATAATTTTCACATGAATTAAATTAACAGAAGACCTAATTATTTATTATTACTAGGTGATATTTAATTATTCTATGTAATTCTTACATGTATAAAAGTGTAATTTTTTTTCTTAAAGGAACATGAATCATGTAAATAAGATTGATACCATCATCCAGCATTTTAATGATTTATTACGTATATTACAGAACGAAGTGTTTAATATATTACACATATATTACAGCGAACTAAGAATTTTCGAAATCGTCACCGTATTCTAACAATAAGCATATATTCTTATCATACATTCGGTTGCGAAATACCGAGTAGAAAAATATTACTTTTGATTTTGCTACTCTTTTGAAATAAAGCGGAACAGGTAATTCTTATTTTTATTAGTTTCGTTTAACTAAATACATTTGCAGTCGACTAAAGTATCATGTGCCCGAAGCTCATCGACGTGCTGAGGCCACTTAACACACTCAAACACGTGAAACTGTTTCATTGTACTCTCTACAGACGAATAAACTTATTTCCGAGATAATGTATTCTTAATTCGATCGAAGGGAACTCTCGTTTCAGTATCGGATAACGTGTTCTCGCAAAGCATTTGTTGCATTTATTACAGAGATAAATATTTAACTATATCACGGCGAATTAAAAGCGTATCTATATATCACATGTGAAAAAAGCTGCGAATGTATAACTCGACGACTACGTACAAAAAAAAAGGAGAGGAAAAAAGAACGACTTACAAGTTAATAATTTTACGTTCGTTAAACGTGAAACGAACACGCTTAATTGCACGTGCGTCTGCGATGCGAACAGATGTCGCACCATTGTTCTCTCTGTTTTACTCTCCGTTTTACTCCCTCGCAAGCACGGCCACTCGTTTTCTCTTTATGGCTATATTTTCGCGTACTAACTGACTCGGCACCGAACTTGGCGACTGGCCAATACCAAACGATCGGTTACTCTCTGTTGAATACTGGCTCCCCCTCGAAATTGTATCGGGCCTCTAAAGCATAACGATTGCTGTTTCGGCCGCATCTTTTTCCCATCACGAACCTGAGAGGGATCGATGCCTCGTTTGTTCACCAATCGAGGGTTAATTCTCTGAACGATGCTCGTCGAGTAATCTGCTAAATCGCTATCCCCATTCGAAGCTTTAAAATCATTGATCACCGTTTGTGCATTTCATGACACTTTGAACTATTCAAAATGTATGGTAATCGCATCGGTAGTAGACAGTTTTTGGAAAAATGTAAAAGTTGCAACAAAATACAATCTGGAAATAGAACTTAACGTCGACTGGCATTGTGGACACTATCAGCGAAAAATAAACCATAGTTTGTCTTTCCACTGATGCATAGTAATTCGTCCGGATAATACACAACATATGTCTGAATCTAATAGAGTAACTTCTGATTTTTAATCCTTCTTTTCACTTTTAATATTTATAAAGTATATTACAGAAATAAATTGTTATTACATGTACATATATTACAGTGAACTAAGAATTTCGGGAATTGCCTACAATTTCATAATACAGAACTGATTCGATGATTCGATGATTCGATGATTCGAACCAAGATATCCAGTTAGTTCTATTAACCTTTCACTATTACAGTCAAAGAGTTCGTTCTACAGAATATCTAACACCGTTTTCTTACAATTAGTACTTATTCCAACTATCTATTACCGATGAAAAATATCTACTACTGCATCTTACTATTTTTATTATATTAATTATCGAAAGAATTTTTAAATTCAATCAATTTTAGTTTGTTTTTTAACCTTATCCCTCTATCTTCTATTTTCCTGCCTGCAAATGAGGATATCTCTTTGAAATTCTTAGAAGATCTCGAGAACACGCCGAATACTGCACGCTATATCTTACGATTAATGTCACTAAATCTTTGTTAAAAATCTCTTAATCCAGCGAATTTTCAATTGGCAAACGTGTGACTCCTTTCTAAGGTTTAGTGATGCTTCGTATTTTCTATTAGAAGGTATTAGGTCCTTGCGTGAAGTATAGTTAAGAAATGATTGTAATCTTTTATTAACCCTTTATTTACTGGCGGGACATATAAGTCTCGTCAATTTTCTCATGATACTGTATCAATTAAACGCTTTATTCGTTTTTAATTGTTGGATGGCAGCACAAGCTTTTTTTCTTTTGGAAGTTTATTAGAGACAATCTATAAGATGATATAAGACCAAGATAGACGCCTAGTTTTGAAACATTTTTGAGAAATTCAGTAAACAAAGGGTTAAACTAATAACTTGGAGTTATACAGGTTTTGGAGTTTATACAGGTACTGTTACATAGACTCATCGTTAAAACTTATCCAGCGGAACCTGCCTTAGACGCGGCGTTATTACTAGTTTCAACATTATGTTCAAACTAATTAGGTACGTATTATTGAACTATCCAGCAAGCGGGTACTGTTCGAGGCAGAAATTGCTAGATAAGTTTCATCAATGAATTCAATCAGTAAATTCGGGATGAAGCGTAATTTTATATCTCTCTGTACTTTTTACACAAATAAAATTCCTTTTTAATACATTAGGGGTTTCTAGAACGCAAACAAGCAATGAAACTGCATTTAAGTAAAAATACTCGTGAACGTAGTTTCAAAAAAATTCGATAAATATAAACTCTTAACGAGTTGTTAGAAATCTTTAAATAGAGTAAGTTTGTCACATTATATTTGGCGCAACAAACGGAGACTATAAAGAGCGTTCATCTGCTTAATACGAAAAAGGTATCGAGACTACTTACGAAAAATATTTCAGAGGCTCGCAACTCTCGCTGAATTTCGTGCGCATCGGTTTCACAAGAAGAACACAACGCGCCATTTTAAAACCGCTGACGCAATCGCTTGGTTCGTTAAATTTAAAAGGCTGTCATGCATCGCTATCGTGGTCTAAAAAAAACGAATAGAAAAATATCGAGTCTATAATATAACTATCTGTTTGTAAGAATACGAGAACTGTGAAGAACACAAATGGCGCTCTCCTTGCGGCATGTTAGGAGTTCTTTCTCGTTTATTCCTTCGAGATGTCGATTAATTTGGAGGGTACGAGTGAGCGAACAATTTAAATAAATCTCTGTGACGCGAATATACGTATCAAACAGGACCTATAGTTAAAGAGAGAGACACTTGATCGTATTTGATGAACTTTGAATGAGATAAAGTTCTATCTTTAAGAAGATTGTAAGCCATTGATTTTGATCACCGATAACTCTTCCATCGCATTCTTATAACAGACATGTACAGGGACGCGCTTCAATTATTGGTAACAGACTGTCGTAAACATCATTCAGTTTATAATAAATAGCAAATGAAGTCGTTTAAGTATACCGCAACTTATTTAATCCGTATGAAATTTAATTTCCAGAACGAATCCTCCGATATGTCATGAATAAATAACAATTAACTATAATCAAAATTTACTGGATAATATTGAGAGACACGGTACTTTTCAATGTTTCAAGAGTATACCTACCTTTAAAGAAAATTCTTATAAACAACATTATAATTTCGTTACTACAACTTTAAAATTTCCTTAATGAATTTAATATCCTCAAGGAAGCCTATGTATTATTAAGCTAAATTCAACATATGACGAAACGGTAATATGTTGATTATCAATTTAGAGTTGATAAAAAGAAGTTTGATTATTGCAATATCAAGTTGAAGACTTTGTCGTTTGACCGTACAATGATGAAGAATCGTCGAAAATGTGGTCAATCATCCTACAGTGGCTTATTCGTAAGCGATACCTTAATATCCTTTGGTATTTAAATTTACTTCTCATGAGCTTTATTAAATTCTCGACCTACTCCTCCCGCGCTCCTAGTTTAAGTTTTATCTCAAGTTTCTCCGTCGAGATGGAACCCGAAGCATAATCTCGTTAGAATTGATATCAACTAAATTCATCGATGACCCACGGAAGCTTGGCCGTTAACGCGCGTATCATGTTCGTTAAGCATTAGTTCTATACACGTTCGTTCTCTTCGATAGCTGCATAGAATTTCATGACTTGGTCCGTAGCAGCCTGGGTGATGGAGCCTCTGCATGGATTGGGATCCCAATTGATACCAGGGCAGCCCATCGACTCGAAACACGTCACCAGTCGGTTTGAGTTCGTTGGACAACATTGAACAACCGCCCAGACGCAGGGTGGAGGACTCTCCACGGGCGTCCACCGATTGGGCGGTGCGGGAAAGTTGGGTGCCTTTGCCCCGTGACGATTCGGATTAATACCCTGCAAAGAAGAACAAACTTCTACTAACTTCGCTCATCATTTCCTCGAGTCTCATTCAAAGCGCTACTATTGGAAATCGATGTGTCACGCAGTATCCTGGTTAACCCATTGGGCTGGCATTTGTTCGTCGATCGACGTGGATAAAGTGTGGCATTCAATTCTGCACAAAACTCTATCGCACGCTATATATTTTTATTAATATCCCTCTGCACTTGGATGTCCCTTATGAGGAAACATCGTAAGTCTAGCAAATTTGATTACTGATTATGTAGAATAGATTGCACAAGCACAATATGGTGTATATGGTGTATATACAGAGATTTAGAGAAAAATATATGAGCAGGCGTTACATGGAAAGAGTATGAAGTAAAGGTTTCCCTAAAAGAGGCTTGAGGGTTTTATTTTTAATAATAAAATATGTCCCTCAACGTAGTGGATATTTTCAATTATGTTTAATTACAATCATGTACACTTTATTTAAAATATACCAATTGAACATACACAGGATGTCCTAGAGTTAGTGTAAGAATCGGAAATGGGGGATAGCTGAGACGATTCTGAACTACAATTTCCTGTGCAAAAATGTCAGATGGTGCTTCGTTTTTGAATTATTAACGAAAAATCACCGACCAATTATAGCGTCCGAGTAGTGTGCGCTTAGCCACGATCTGATTGGTCGGGGTTTTCTGTTAATATCTCCTTAACGAAGCCTAGGACAACATTTTCGCTAAGGAAAATGTTGTTTCAAATCACCCCCCGAACCACCCCTTTCAAGGACTTCCAACATTTTTGGGACACCCTGTATAACCCATTAATGTAAAAGTCAAATTAAAACTGTACACGCTTGAGAGGAATGTCCAAGTAGAGATGATACGAAAATACGATAAAAATTAGAAAATATAATAATAGCGATATTAGTTCAAGTAGAATCTACTGTTAAAAAAAAATTATTATATTTAAAGTTCATAAAGGTTCATCCATTTTTTGTGTATAACAATTTTTCATGCTAATCATTATCTACAAATTATTGAAGATAATGTATATAACTATATACATAACAAACATTATATACAATACAACTATTGCATTTAATTATATTCAATCCAAAGATGACTTAAAACGTATAAATCGAAACGACATAATAAAAATAGCTTTTCTAAGACTACTAACTATTCGCTATTTATTCAATATTACGAAGAACAAAGTATGCAAAATTTTAGTTTTCATAAAAGAAAATAATGCTATTTATAAAAGTTGTCAGACTTCTCAGTCGTTGATAATTTTGCCTATGGCGTTACTAAATATAACGTCTGACCCGATACGCCTCGACGCGATGGAAGGTCCTTTTATCTGCGGAATAGTTAGCCGCCCTTTCAAAGCTCGGTTCTGTTTCAATTGAAGAACACGAATACAAAGGCATCGTTTCGTGCTGCTTTCCATGGATCGTATTCATGTCAAAATTTGACATAAATAATAGTAATAGATCAGTGATGTTACATTTAGATTATCGCCCTCATTTTTGTAAACATATTGGTCATGCTGTTGTGTGACAAACTGGGTGCATACGACGGGATAATCCGATATAATTATCGAAACACAGGGATCGGATAGAGACGCAAGGCGCCAATGACAGCGCTTTTGGACAATTGCATAGACCGAGTGTGAAGTGTTTTAACAGGCAAACGGAAGAAGCTCACCGGGAAATCGATATCGTTGTTGAAGCCTCCCCTCGATAACACTGGCGATGAGGAGGAAGATGCTCCGGGACGGACTATTATTCTTGCGCTCACAGGTAGTGCGTTCAGTCTTGCCTCTTCCTGTCGCCTTCGTTGCTCTTTCATGGCTCTGGCGCGTTCTTCGTCCTCCCTGGTCCCTTTCGCTCTGCGGGGGATAAAGGGAGCATTATATTATCAGCGTAGACTGAAAGAGGAAGCTTATTGTGCGCGACACGATCAAGGTGTTTGTTTCATTAATATCGCTCGTTTTGCAATGTCGCGCTAACTAACGGTTCCCGCAGCCGAATATTTACCATATCCCCTTCTATGTGATACGCTATAAATCGTGGAGATTGCGATAACCGGTGCGAGGCTATTTCGACTTGGCAAACTGTTGACTTCCCAAGTCGTCGACAGAGTTTACAACCAGGGTGTTGAGCGTCTGTGTTGAACTTTTTGGGAAACGCTTATCTCGTTAGCATGGCTATTTCATTGATAAACTACGTCTCATGTGAAACGTGTTCGGTAGATGCATTAGATAATTGTATATGTCCATCCCCGATTTAAAAATGAAGTTCAATGGGTTTTTCAAATTCACCATAATCTCCGGACTTGGCCCCTTCAGACTTTCATCTCTTCCGGTCACTCCAGAACAGTTTAAACGGAAAGACTCTAAATTCCGAGGAAGTATTTTAATTTAGAAGCTATCAAAACGTACCTCACGAACTTTTTTCATGAAAGACCAAGATCTTTCTTCAAAGCTGGAATTGACAAGCTCGTAGATCAGTGGAAAATAATTATAGAAAAGAATGGTGACTAAATAATCGATTAATACAATCGTACTCTTTGAAATTTAACTCATTGAATTTCATTTTTAAATCGGGCATGAACTTCGTGCAGTCATCCAATATGTAAAGTAATTAAGGACCATAGAATAAACTGTCCTACACTGATCTGTAATATTCACTGAATGATCGCTGTATAGTCTTTAGTCCTAAACACGGATTTAAATGTCAAATTGCTTCATCACGGTCGGTTTAAAAAAAAACACTAGATTTTTCAAAGAAGAAAATTAATGAAATATTTGAACAGTGCCGTGAAACAATTTATTTTCTATTACAGTCAGCCTCTGTAACCTTGAATGACCTTCAACCATAAGTCATTGTATTCATCTTGAAATCCTCTAATGGACAAGCGCAATTCAAAACATAAAAAAAATAGTTGACAAGTAATTTTTTATAATCACGTTAAAGGTCTCTTGAAACCATGTAAAAATTGATAAAAACATTTTCGATCGGATTGCTAATAACAGAGCAATCTCCACTGACCACGATTCGTGATTCACCCTATATATTCCAATTGAGACGATGTACATATACTTGTGAGCGGGGGTGTAAGTACAAATACGAGTTAATTCGTAATCGATAAAAATTAGTGTGAACCAAAAGTTCATGCAATTTTTACGTTGTTTCAGTTTCTGCAATTTTTTGAAGTCATTCAAATTACTTTATAGCTACTGAATATAATGTTTTCTTTGCTGCTTCAGTAGTTTTAAACTCTTGCTTCCAGTAGTGACGTAAAAGTACTCGAATCTCCAAGTTTTCTATGATTTTACTAAAACGAAACAAATTAAACGATCAATTAATTAATATAGCTAATAATTAAATATGAAAGACCTTTCCAAAAGCTACAAAATGATATATATATCACTTGTGTATAAAATAATTTTAATGACTTCAAAAAATTGCACAAACTGAAACAGTGTAAAAAACAAACGAACTTTCGGTTCACCCTAATACTTAAACACGAATACACGAATACGTGTATACCCGTGACCGGTTAAAGGCGCGTCGCATCATTGAAATTTAATATTATATTTAGTAAACAAATGAAGTTGTACCATCTCTCTACGTTGAATTCTTTACCTGCTGGCCTCTTGCCTCCGCCTTTCGATCTCGATCCTCCTTCTCTCTTGCTGCTGCCTTTGCCTCTGGAGCTCCATAGCCCTCCTGGACTCGTTCGAAGCTAAATTGGCTGGAATAAGACTCGTGTCTTGTCTTCGCCGGTGCTCCTCGAATCGTCTACGATCCTCATACACTGGTCTTCTGTTCTCCAACGGTCTGATCCTTGCAGCTTGACTTCTCGCTGCCTCCTGTTCCATAAATTCCTTACGCCTTCTCTCGGCTTCCAACTGCGCCGCTTCCTGTCTCTTTCGGTCCTCCTCGTATCTTCTCATCTGTATCCTTCGAACCTCTTCTTCCCGCCTCAAAGCTTCTCTCTTTAGCTGTTCCTCTTGCTGTCTTTCCCTCTCGCGAATTCTTTGCTCTTCGAGACTTCTGACCGTATCAGTTCTTCCGACTTGATTCGCGTAGCTTTGGGGATAGACATTCGTCGGAGCTGATGGACCGTGGTTTCTTCTTCCGCTTCCTGGCCCTGGATACCTTGACCGATCATTTAATCTCGCTTCGTTTATCGTTCGTCTCTCCTCCAACCAGTTTCTGTGATAAGACTCGTTCGCCTTTGGTACGTGTATGGGTTGATTTCGACGTACGTACTCTTGCAACTTACGCTCCTCTTCCTGCTTTCTTCGTTCCTCTTCTATCTTTCTTCTATTTGCTTCTTCTCTGCGCCGATCCACGGCACTGGTAACATTGATCGGTTGATTACGTTGTATGTATTCTCGCAGCTTCTGATCGCGTTCTCTCGCCTGCTGTTCCCTCATTCGTCTCTCTGCTTCCGGTTGATACGGTCTGGTCGCATTCACAAACGGCATGGGATAGACCAAGCTCGATGGTGGTTCGTTCCTGTTCTGTTGCTGCCTCCTTCTTTCTTCTTCTTCCTCTCGATTTTTCTTCATCACCCACTGTCTTCTTCTTTCCTCCAAATGTCTTCTGTCTAACTCTTGTTGTCGTCTTCTCTTATTCTCTTCATCCCGCCTGGACTCTTCGTTCCTGCGCATTTCTTCTTCTTGCGGTCGTCGTCTTCTCTCTTGTTCTCTCAAACGATTCTCCTGTTCTCTTGTTCCCTCTCCTCGAGTTCTCAGTTCCTCTTCCAACTGTCGTTGTCTCGTTCTCTCTTCCTCTTGACGTCGTCGTTCCTCGTCTTGCCATCGGTTCCTCCTCGTTTCTTCCTCCCTCATACGCCTTCTCGCTTCCTCCTCTCGCATACGTCTTCTCGTTTCTTCCTCCGTTTGCCACCGTTGCGATTCTTGCTGCAGCTGCCGCTGTCTTTCTTCCTCGTCCTTCTGCTTCTGTCGGAGCAATTTCTCGTAGTCGTCTCTGATTCTTTGTATATCGGTATTAGTCCGATTCTCAATGTATCCTCGCCTCCTCACCTCCTCTTCCCTCCTTCTTTCTTCCTCTTGTCTTCTTCTCTCGATCTCCTGCCTCCTCCTCTCGTAGTCCTTTCGACGTCGCTCGTTCTCAGTTTGCAACTCGTCGCTCGACACCACGCCTTCGTCTTCCCCGAAACCCCAAACTCCACGCTTCGAGCGCTTTCCTTCTTTCGATTGCTCACCAGCGGCGGAGTCATCGAACCACAAGATCTTGCGACCTCGATTAGTCGTCAAGCCATCGACAGACTTTATTCCAGCATCGTTGAGAATGCTTCGCTTCGCCTTACCGAAATGCAAACCTTTGTTGCTCTCCTTCGCCAAATCCAACCCTCTTTCCGCTTTCTTATTACCAAGTACAGACGACGGCGGGGATGTAATCGAGTCTTTGACTACGCTAGACTGGCCCAAGTCTCCTCTGACGGGCAATATTTCTGCTCGTCCTTTGTCGTCGAGAAAGTCTGAATGAAGAGTCGCCTCCATGTCGCCCCTGTTGTGCTTGATCCCCTTCGTAGTGGTCTCTAATTTCTTCAGCTTCACGAGTTCGTCCATTTCCTCGTAGCCTTCCTCCGAGGAAAGATCGTAGTCCACGTTCAAAGATATAGGTGTCGCGTCTGGCCATAGGTCGACTCCTGATTCCTTATCCTTAGTCGGGGAATCTATGGACCTCTTCTGTTTGTGGTTGGTCGCTTCCAATCCCTCGCACCCCACTTGCAACTCTGGCACCCCACCTACGCTAAAGGGGTCGCCGTTCGGCGGTAGTTCAGTTCCGAAATTGTCAAACGAGTTGGACTGTTTGTAGAACATCTTCGGGCTGGTAGCTCCGTAGTCCGTCGTTTTAGCCTTCCAGCTTGCGTGGCTGCTCTTCTTCGGCGCCTTGCTTTTGCTCTTCGCCAATAATCTCGTCACGGGTGTCGGATTCAGCAGAGGCTTCTCTCCGAGGAGGTCCAATTTGTATATCTCTACAGAGCCAGGCCCTTGATCTTGGAACGTGTCGTCGGCCACAAAAGGATCCTCCAATTCGGACGGTGGTAGCTCGCGCGAAAGTAATTCCGGTGTCTTGAGGTTTCTGCCATCAACCTTTTCATCTGTGAATTCTCGACCACCGAAATTACGATACTGCTTGCCTTCGAATAAAGGTGAGAAATCGTCGGTGGCATGGTTACCCTTTCGCGGGAAGATCGAGTTCTTTCCAACATATTTCGCAACGAGCGAATGCTCCGGGAACTCTGAAAAATGTACATACAGAGGTGAATATATGTTCTTGCGATAACGACTATTTTGAATCTAATTTTATTAGGATGGTACATATGAAATGTCGTTTGTACAAATGAAACTCTAACTATATAAAACTATTTTTAATAAAACATTGTACATTTAATTAAAATAATTTTCACATAATTCTGTATTTTTATTAATGTTGAATGCATTTCTTCTATTTCATTGCAATAAGATTTTGCATTAATTATACAAACAGAGGGTAGAAAATGATGACGAATAAGTTTTTTTTTTTTCATTAAAGCTATTAAACCCCCTACGGGATTATTAGGAATAAGCACATAGCTGTGCATATTATCAATACATATGTACATATATATATATAGTTACATTATAATATATGAAATACAGTACAATATGAGAAAACAAATTCGAAATGAGTACAAAAACATACAGTGTAAATAGCGTATACATTAACTGTATGCAATATTGCCCTTCCCCTCGCCGCAAAAAAAAAAAATACATCAAATCCTCTCAGACAGTATTTCCACGTAGACAGTATATGTGTATACATTAACAGCATTCAATATTGTCGCCTCTACCAAAACTAATTCAAGCAGGAATGAAAAATTTTTTATTTTGCGCCGCCTATGAAAAGGTTATTTAATATAATTTCATGTAAATGAAACAGAAATTTAATATATTATTTAATATAAAGAAATTATTTCATACTTTTTAGTAGAGTTATTATTTTTTGGAGTAGGTTATATTTTTTTTCCAAAAATTATTTTATGCCAGGTTGTATTAATATAATTTCGAAGTCTAGTCTCGAACGAACTATAGATCTGTGGGATAGCCACTCGAACACGCGCAACCAGTGGCTTGAATTTCAAGCGCTCGATTGAAGATTCAAGAGGTCTTGTGTCACGATACTCTAGCTCTGTTATATTCAAAAGCAACTATCACAGGTTTGATATTTTTTACTGAAATATTTTAAACAAGTGAATAGTTTTATAATAAAGAAAACATGTTATTTCACGTTTTACATTAATTTTGAAGCTGAGTAAGTAAGAAGATTATAGTTCTGTGCAGATTGAGTTTTATTTCATTCGACATCCCTACCTGTTTTATTATATCACGTTGAATTGATGTCTCGCGGATTAAAAATAATTTATATTTATTAAAAAATGATCTAGTAAATTCGATAACTATACGTATTTTTTAAAAATTACACGTATTTTTCGATAACTAAACACATCGCTTGTAAGACCACAGTATCGATTTTATTACTTTATATCAACAGCCCCATGAACCATTAATGATAATTAGCGACGAGATATAATAACATCGTTGTAAAGGTTTACGTCCGTCCCCATCCATTTAATTTGAAAACTAAAGGGTCGAACTAGTTAACGATAATCCATACTTAACGAGACACATGTTTTTAAACGGTTATACTCTAACATGGCCAGTAATTGGGTCATTCGTTTTAAACTAAAGTTCACAAAGTTTCAGCTCATAAATTCCACAAGCCTGATATCGCAACAGTAAAACCTAACGCTATTAAAAATCGAACCCCGACGGATCTCACAGCGACAAACTCTAATTACTGGCATAATCAACGTAAATTGCATCTGACATGGCGAACGGCATAATCTTCCAGCGAACGACACGTCATTCGTTCCCGCGATCTACGGTCCCAAGTTACCCTAGCCCTGATCAACTTACCACCCTTATCCCTATCGTCGCAGAACTTCATTGCCCATCCCTACGATCTCAGAGTAATCGGCTCACTCGCCCTTCGCGATTCTCCGGACGCCACGTCAGGAACAACCGTGTTAACCAGAATGATTCCTTTTAATTATTTGTTCACTTTCGTTATATCATTTTATTTAATTTACTCCGTCTGGTACATGTGTATCTTGTAAGTTAAATAAGTTTCGTGTATAAAATATCATCCAATCAGTGAGAAACTTTCCAAACGCTCGAGATGACACTACACGTTAATATATCGTGGATCAATATTCGAAAATTTCAACATGGCCCTAATCGACTCCTAATTCTAAACTAAAAGTGTTTATTTTTGGATATTTAAACAAAAGCGGATTCTGAATACTTAAAAATGACTTATTTTAGTGTGTTTGAACCTCGCATTGAATTCCTTTCAATAAACGACATCTTTTGTCATATTTCATAAACTATGAAGAATATGAAAAAATTGTTCAAATATACATTATTTGTTGCTAACCAGTCAGCTGTGTGAGACGAGTACACTCGTTATGAAGAAAAGGCCGTACTTTGTGTCATGACGAGTATACTCGTCATGCATAAAATGTAGTTAGTTTAGTTTTTCGTAATATTTGTTTATGTAACAAGTAAATATTAGTACTGAAATTGTCAATTTTTTAAAATAAACTCATCTTTTTGATCTTATATTTTAACAATGATACTTACTCTGTGATTGCTTGATTTTCGCGACACATATAGGCGCGCGCTCTCAAAAGGGGGCGCCACAGCTGACTGGTTAAAAGGACTATTAAAAACAAGAAAAAAAATTTATATGGTATTCCATTTAAAAATATTGGTTCCATCCAACAGTGACTCATACATCATATGAAAGAGCCTATCGTACCATATAATACTAAAAAAAGAACTTGTCAACATTACTAACAGTGTCCGAGAAAATAACTGTGACAGTTTACGCAGCCCACCCCGTATTTACTTTCTGCTAGAAAGATTTCCAAGAATCAACGTTTCCTTCAGCTCGAAGGGTAATATTCCTAGACAGTCGTTTCATAAATGCAAAATTCGCATAAACTACCAACGAACGTCTCATGATTTCCTCGAAGCGGGCGATCGTTTTGTAATTTTAGCCGTAACAATACCAGACGGTTGCTCCGTTTCCGCCGTGGTAGCCAGAGCGACAGAATGAAATTGCTGATGTAACGAATGCCAGACGTACCGGTGTTCGCAGATATCGACCTTCGCGGGCCGATCGAAAGGTCGAGCGGCTGATTCTCAGCAGGATTCTGATCCTTCCAGTCCAGTTGGCCCTCGACTTTTCGATAAACTCCATGGCGTCGCGGGGCCAAAGGGGAGTATTGATCGAGAGTAAGGCGAGAGGGTTGGAGGGTGGCTGTCCCCACCACGTTCCCGTATACCGTCAGCCAGACCGTGGCCAGAACCACTGTCACCCCTGGCTGCATCCTCCTGCAATCAAACGAGTGTCCTTCGTTACACTTCTTTTTCCCTCGAACCAGCGAAACAGCGCCAAGTTCGCCTACCACGGGACATGTGAATTGTTCGAAGGACTCTATCGCGGTGAATCCACAGAAAACGAGGACCACTCGTGCTCGGAATTTTTACTTTACACTCTATAAGGAAGGAATCTATTGTAATCGGGAAATTGTCGAGAAAATCGTCCCTAATCTGCCGCGCGTTTTAATTCGTATCGCTTTAAGAATATTATAAAATTATTTTCAAACAACTCGAAACAAATTCGAAACAATGTTAATTTCAAAGTGATGTGATTAGTTATAGAAGGTAGGGTTTGATTTATAAGAGTATTCATAAATATAAACTTATTTGTACTGTACTGTTATTTTACACATTAAACAAAATTATTTCTACGAATGTTACTTTTAAAGGAATTGTTTAGCGTAATTTCTTTAACCCTTAAATGCTTCAACTTTCAAATTCGATACCGGACTTTTAAATCGAATTGTACACTTCCAATTGGTTCGTTTTTTAATATTTACCTATACGTATGTTACAATTGCATAATGTTATTTTGAACAAAAGTTAAGGAAATAAACATCAGCTGTCAAAATTGTTCAAGTAATAAATACATTGATATTTATTTAAATTTAATTTCGAAAATCAGGCTTCAAAGGGTTAAAAATACAAAACATAACAGCTATTTGTGTAATTATTTTTAATTTGTACATGTTATTCAATTTTTATATTCTCTTTTACAAAAGCTTCTTTTTACATCGTATGATCATTAGTGACAAATTTGACTGAGCTTCTTATTAACCCTTTACCCGCGTGACGATTCTTGCTGGAAACTCTAAGAGACGTAGAGGTGTGAATTTAACGAAACTATCAGTTTATACAAAATGATAAGACAGAGTAGTTTCAAAAATAAAACTTAAAAGATTTTTTCTGAGATCCCGTAATGGTCTGATCTTGTTGCAGTTGTCTTTAAAAAATAAACAACAGCCGAACAATCGACTTAACAAAAAATATCCCCTTATAGAGAATGACAAAACGATACTTTTTTACATTTACAATTTATTCATACGACGTTTAGTTTCAGAGATAAAAATTGAAAACTTAGAAGACCTTTTCCCTGAAATTCAATTTTTACAACGAATTTCTAACTTTTCAATTTTTATTTCCGAAACTAAGCGTACTGTGAATAAAGTGTACATATAAAAAAGTTTCCTCTCATCATCTTCTATAAGCTGATATTTTTTAAAAATTGATTTAACGAATATAAACATTTCTCTGAATCCATTTCTCAAGGACGTATAGATACGCCCTTTGCAGTCAAAGGGTTAATTAGTAGAACTAAGATTCTTTTTGGTGATGAGGTTAATATTCTTCTTTCGTGTGATGACGAAGGAAACAATCTAATGTTGATCACCATATGTAGACCTGGTTTCAGTTAAAGTCACCATAAGAAAATCCTTCCACTGCAAACTTGTGATCACGAAATCTTTTTTTAAGTCGGTTTCCAAAAATATAAAAACAAACAAAATAAAGAGTTCTTCTTCTGTTCGAGGAATCTAAAAATGGCACGAAGGAAACATGAGATCAGCATGCATCGAGTTGAAAGTCTTATTAGGTATTCATGTTGCGTCGAAGGAGTAGGTTAGCTTCATCTAAAGGACTCGAGGGCAATATTGTCTACGATATTATACGGTGATGTCACTGAATTTTGATCGAATAAGCGAAAACATGTTTAGACGCCACAATGTAATGAATAAAAGTCGAATTGTCGGGACGAGAGTTCGTTTGCGTTACCCCTGTATTTTAAAAAATTGATTGCGTAGCCAGTTATCGTTAAATTTCATAAAGTTTGAGAGGTATCGATTACCGAATTCCCAGCCATCGTAAAATTGGTGACCGATTTTTGCGATGCTCGTTTGTAGTGCTAATTAAAAGTTAATTGGCTATCCAATTATCGACGTGATTTACTGCGAATGACCGCACAATTTCTGGCATGAAAATTAAATGCGTCCATCATGGAGCATTTGATTTTTGATCAGTCATTTAAGAATTACTGGAATAATAACTAGAAATAAAAATAATCAGACGCATTTTGCACTTTCATTAATTTTGTGTAGGGGTAAAGTACAGTGATACGTGTAGTACTAAATCATTTTTAAAGATAAATCAATATTTATTATAACTTTGTTTATAAAACACTTTGGAGACAAGTATTAACAGAGAAAAGGAATAAGGAATATCCTGTCATAGACACAATGTAAGGCGTCTATTCGTAACAAGAGTCACGTATTTTTTCCAAAATCAATCATATTATATTTGAAATCTGAAGTAATCTCATCGATCAAAATTGTATTAGTTCTAGATTGTAATCTAGTTTCCTTAATTTTGAAGCAAAGGGTAAAATTATTAAACCTTGATGAAAGACTATATACAACGTGTTATATCTTATATCAAACCTCCGTGTCATTGTGTACAAATAAATATATCGTATACTTGGTATTTCCTGTGTTTTCAATTAACACAGTAACTGTCCTATCGGTTGCATACAATTTTTCAGAGATAGTCTGAGAATTGTCATAATTTAAGAGACCACACTTTCAAACACCCTATTGGCTTTCTACATAGCATGGTGATCTTAATGCTAAGATATTATCATAATGGTTGTTGAGCAACAGAAGATAAACTTTGAACTGTTTTACAGAAGATTAGATATACCTTTCCGGATACAAGGGTTGAAATTGCGAACATCACACAAGTGACCCCACGATCATATATTTGACATTTGCTATTTTTCTAATAGTTGACTGCCAATTCCAATAATTGACTGCCAAGCTAAGTCCATAAAAATGTCTCTAGAAGGTACTCCAATTTTGTACACAATTCATATTTTGAACAGGACAAAATTATTTTTTCTGATATAACCGGACAAAATAACGGTTAATGATCCTAGGGTGAACCGTGATCTGTTTGACAGAAAATTGTACATATCCGTGTAGACGGACGGTTAAAACGCGAACGTAAAATGAGCGACGCGTGGAACTTGTCAGCTCCGAATGCGGGAATTCGTGTACGGTTCGGTAGTCGAGTATCACTCACTTGGGTGACATCGCGAATTCCATCCCCCAAAAAGCAATCGGTCGTCAAACGGGCGAGGTACGTCGCGCGTGAATCGATGGAGCAAACTAGACACCATGACCTTCCAATTCGCGTTTCGATCGAGGTGCACGTACCGAGTAACAAGATCACATCCGTCGCTACACACGAATGGTGGCCGGTGGTATCGATTTCGCGACACTCGATTCCCACTCGAAGAAATGCCGCTTCACCGGGTGCCTCTTCTCGTCGAAGATCCTCCTTGCAGCCAGTGTTCCCGCCAACGGAATTCACGTCGCTTTGTGAGCTCGAGTGAACCTCTCCTGCTGACCCAGAGAAAGAGAAGCAACAATCGGTCCTCGACGTATGCGTTCGAGTCGAAGGCGGAGCGAGATCGAGTGATCTTGACACACTGTCGCTGCCAGGTCGCCGTGGCTAAACTTAACGCCCGCCCCACTGGCTTCGCTGCCAAACGTTCACGATCCGCGAATCCGAATCGTGCTTGTTGTACACAAACCCACGATTCACTTCCGGCAACTGACGTCGAATCGATCCTTCACGACCACCGATTACGTTGTACGCGAGTTCGCCAGGGATCACTGACAATTTCGAGCAATTGTAAACACGAGCAATCGTCGACCATGGGTGGAGATATGCAGAGTTCCATTCGATGGGGGACGCGTTGAAATTCTACGGAAAGAAGTATTCGCCACGTGTTTGCGACATTATGGTCATTCGGAAAATTGAATTTTTAAGATTGAAAATCTTTTTATTTTCGAACAGCCGAAATTCATGTTCTGTTATATGGTGAATAATGCTGTGAGACGATGAACTGGGTGGATAGTAACAGAATAAATATGCCCCGTTACACAGATTGAAAAGTGGAAGGGTAATGCGATGAACATAGAGAAGGACAGCGAATAAAGAAGTATATCGATGAGTTTTATCGTTGCATTAGCATTGTCTCATCGAGATACCTAATCCCAGATCATGTTACACTACTCGGTGATCGAACTCCTCAATCCCTCAAGGAGTATACTCCCCAGTGGTGGGGATGGTTTCTGTGCAATTATCGTAGAGAAATTTGTGCATTTAAGGAGACTTTACAAAAATAGACAAAAATATCCCGTTACAATTGGCTCTTAATGCGGGTCACAAATCAATGAAGGAGAACAAAGTCAATGAAGAGACCGAAGTCGATAATACCATTCCTGATGTAGATTGCGGAGAATAAATGACAAAAAATTGTAGTAAATTGGTAGTGTTGATATAAATACACTAAATAACCTTACAAAATATATAAATTTGTAAATTTTTGGGTATACGTAACAATCAGTCTCTAGGATAGGTTTACTCGATGTAGCCCACGTTTTAAAGCTCTTCAGGAATATAATCAACAACACGGAAACGCGATGCAAAATGAAAATAAGATTTATTTTTAAAGTGTAGATTCAGAATGCGAAGGAGGCGAAGAATTGCGAGAATGAGAATCTAAACAAGTGTCAAGTAATTTCTTAACCGACGTCAAAAACAGGAGGATGTTATCAATTCGACCTCTATGTGTGTATGCAAGTACATGACTGTAATAATGTAATTAAAGTATAATATTGTATTTGTAGTTCATGGATACAATTTTTACGTTTTAATTTAAATACCATATCTAAGGCGATATAAATTTAAGAACTAATTTTTTTAAGTAGCAAGTATTACTAAAATACTAAAACTAACTGTAAAACTTACTATAGATATCCAATTATAAATTTAACATAAACTACATCATATATTTCAATATATTTCAACGTTCACTTCTACATTTTTATAAATAATTTGTTTCACATTTCTTCTTTATTATCATTTTCATGCATATATTCTTCGCATTCTGT